GCTTGCAACTTGATTGATAATGACCTTTCCGTTCCTGCAGGTGGTTTTATCAAATTTAGCAGGAGTGTGCTACTTAAAGATGAACTTTGAACACAATCGATACACTTAAAATACTTACTCATGTACAAATTTGAGGAAGCATTTCATTCCCAATTTGCATTTTCCTAAAAACTGTGGAGATTTCCGGTTTTGATTGATTGCTATTGGAAGGCTATTGAAATTAGTATGTCTCCAGTTCACCTTAAAATCATCATGGCTTATACAATCTTCTACATTACACATATTCTATTCTTTCATATCTTATACACCTCTCCCGGATAGACGGGACCGGACACTTTGATGCAAATGACATTCTTCACTGAAATTCGTTAATTTCAAATGATGGCATATAATTAATTAATCTTCGTGAAAGGGCTGTGAGCAACATTTGCAGGAAAATGTGATCCTAACCTGTGCAGGAGAAATGGCACTTGTGTGGAAAAGAGTAGCGGTGAGCTGGGCTGTAAATGTCCACCCGGCGCTTCCGGAAGATACTGTGAACGCGGTAGCTTTATTAATTTAAAATCTTTCTCTCTACCTCATCCAGAGAACAATCAGTATGCTGGTAACACTGAGTTCTTCTAGTCCAGAGCCAACAGTACTGGACTGGGCTCTACTCTCAACAGTACTGGGCTCTACTCTCTCAACAGTACTGGACTGGGCTCTACTCTCTCAACAGTACTGGACTGGGCTCTACTCTCTCAACAGTACTGGACTGGGCTCTACTCTCTCAACAGTACTGGACTGGGCTCTACTCTCTCAACAGTACTGGACTGGGCTCTACTCTCTCAACAGTACTGGACTGGGCTCTACTCTCTCAACAGTACTGGACTAGGCTCTACTCTCTACGAGCCTCATAGAGTGTCCATTTTGATGTGTAACGTTTATTTTTTTTTGCAGAAATCAATGAATGCAACTTTCGACGCTGTAAAAACGGTGCGAAATGCACTGATAAATGGAACGATTATTCCTGTATCTGCCGGCCAGGATGGATGGGGAAAGACTGCGATCGTTAGTTTCAATAAAAATTAACTAGGCGCATTTGTCACATTGTACTATTTAAGATGAAGATGAATGCAGTGATATAGCATGGTCAACATTTTCTTTTCTGTTAAACGAGGTGAGTTGTTAAGGGCCTTGTCAAGATATCTATGGCAGTTGCGATCAGTGGAAGCAGCAGGGTCAATGTGAGCAGATGCGTGATCATACGAGATTTTTCGATGACAATTGCGCTGCATCTTGCGGGCAGTGCACTTATTCCAACGAGACTGGTTTGCTTTTTAGCATAGCATTTCTTAATGTATTCAGCAATTAGTCAACTACGCAGACGGTTGTGCTTTTGAGAAAGGGAAGAATAGGTAGTCAGTTTGCATCCATTAAGAATTAACTTCCTCAGAATTAGCTCTCATTAACTTGAGATTTTCAGAAGTAAATTTCAGTGAAAACGACAAAACCGCTTGCTCCAATTTTACTTCCACTATCTTGGATGATTGGCATATGGAAGGCTGAAGTAAATGGTAAGTTATAAATAGATCAGCTGTTGGTCAGTGTTATGTCCACTGTAAAATAGCCAGAATGCTTCAAGTGATCACCTGAAAACAACACATTCTGTCGTCCATTTAGGTACACGTTCACGTACTATAGACTACGTGACAGATTTCGAAGGAATATCTTACACGGAAATTCTTACAATTACTGTCGCTGATGTGTTAGTATTTGGCAAACCGAGCATCAATTTCACGTATGTTGACACAAGAATATCATTCACGTCAAAACTGACGTTTCACATAATCTATTGCTGGCTTAAGTCTGATCTCACTCAACCTGAATTTATTTGAAATTTAAGTGTTAATAAGGTATTATTCTGCTAAAATGAGAAGTTTTTTTAAAATGAGAATCATTTATTGCTTCCAATCTACCATTTACATAAATTCAACCTTAAACGGTATTTACGATATTTTCTTTCTTACCTATGCATTCATCGGATAACCCAGTTACTTCGATGGATTTCCGAATAATAACTACTCTTCAATTCCAAATTCTTTTGATTGCCTGAAATGTTCAGATCGATAGCAATAAACAGGAATGACAGTACTGATCAGCACATACACTACGGTTTCTTTACAATTAGTCCGAATCCGGATGGCAAACCTCTGGTGGCACTTATCACAGCAAGTAATCTCGGTAAGAAAGCAAAAACCGAACTTTCAACTTATATTTCCGCTGTTTAAATATTGCTACGATGTTGACAGTCATCTTTGTGATGAAGAATCTAACGCTACATTTTGAAGTGCTCTGTTTACTAAGGCCAAGATTAGACGCTTGAGAACGTTGTATCCGCAATAGCCGTACGTGAAACTATGTTACGTTTGCCACGGCATACACACCAAGTGGCTGATTTTAGGTCAGATAATGATAGAAGAAGGTGAATTACGTTCGAACAGTATTCAGCTTACTCCAGTGTATCGCTCTGTGCTATCATATACAGCCAACAGTTTACCGCTAGAGGTAACATTTAGTAATGCCCGAAAATCCAACACTATCTTATCTTGGCAGCAGCAATTTATCTCTTTGAAATTTGAAGTCGTACAACGCCGACAGATTACCTTTTCTGTCGTCGAATAATTGAAAAAAATATTTGCATGAATGAGAGAGATGAAGAAAGGAGCTATCAGAGTGACAATAGTGTCCAAGAAGAGTCATTTTATTTCTAGTTACATCGAACATTTTCGAGAACTGACAAAAGGTTAGTGCAAAGTTTGACGAAGAAAGATTTGGACGGTAGAAATCGAAGTATCAGCAAGCGATACGACAAAATAGTCAATATTGAATACCTGTGATCTCTTCAGCATACCTGAATGTTGTTTGTACATATTGCTTTGCTCATTCTCTTTGTCATTGCATTTGTTGTATGGCTTAAATGTACCGATGCTTTAATACATTTTCACAGTATTGTTGAAGTAACAATGGCAAATCAACTTTTTGATTTGTTGCTGCTGCGGAAATTTGAAATGTGCCGCAGCGGACAGGAATATAGCTCGTTGCATTGTTGAGAGTTGGAACTGAGATCGGTTTGTGCAAAGTTTTTAGAATAGGGACAGGAAGTGCTTGTGCTTGTGACGGAACTGATCGATAGGACGAGACATCCGCAGAGCATTAGTTCAAATGTGTCATTTCAGGAATTGTTTGTATTTGTATTTGTTAGTGCTAACATATAAATTCAGTGAGCAGCTGAAACTGTCATAGTCATAGTTTGCGATTTTATCAGCAACTTGAACTTTGAACTTTGACATATTTAATTTAGATGTTAGACTAATTGTTTGTTATAAAGTAAACAAAGATAAGATATGTTGGTCAGCGATATATCTGAAATTGCTCCTTGTCCAGAATAATGGATGTTGCTCTCAGCAAAGATGATTGTGTTATTAATTATGTATGGAATGTAATGTATATTAAATCTTTGATTTCAACTTTGACATGTTACTTGAAATAATTAACTGCCAATAGCTTACATTAATTTGCTAATTCAGAAGTCACCAAGCTAAGAGAAGCTTGATGAACTCATGTGATACCATCCCTTGACTGTAACTAAAATATTTTCAGTAATTTTCTTTCGCAGATGCTTAAACAAAATGATGTCAGTCACAAAGTGTCTCGCCGAATTGTCCGCCTTTCTACAGCAAGCAAAAAACAGCGCGTGCTATTTTAAAGTAAACATTTTACTATTTCGAAAATTTGAAAACGTTCTGTCATAGTATTAGCGCTTTTATCGTCCTTAATTCTGGTAGTTTCTGAAGAAAGCAATAAACGTGATGTGACCTTACTTGACCTTTTTAGTACCACAAATTTTTTTTTAAGGAGATTCTGAAAATGTGCAAAGGAATGGATGAAATGTATTTGCATCTCATTCTCTCTAATCATTTTTTGAAACTAAGCGTAGCCATTCGTCTACTCATTTACTTATATTTATTGGTTGCTCAAATTGCGAGTATTAATATTAAAACACCTTAATGTTTACTGATTAGTTTATCTGAATAACTGATAGTCTGTTTGGGAAGATCTGCGACACTTGCGCATCCATATCAGCACTTGGAAATAAATACTCACGAGTTTGACAGTGACGTGATGCAGCAGTGTGCAAGCATAAGCAATTTTTATGGTTTCAAAGAAAGAAATATTTTGAATGACATTGTGAGGAAATGATAATAGTTCGATGGCGGTGAAATATCGAAAGTTACAACGGAAATTAACTTAACAGAAGTTAGATATATGATTTATAGTACAGAGATAAGCTAGCCATGATAAAACGGAAAGTAAGGAAAGGAACTTTAATTTTTGAAATTTCGAGAGAAAGGAAGAAAGATTTGTTTAATAATTTGAAGACTTGAGGATTTGATAATCGTTGCTTTAGTGATTGATAACCACAGTGATAATTGTGACAACGAAAATCTGTCGTTTCGATCACAGTCTGCTGGCATCCCTATCACATATCACTTTGCTTCTTCATCTTTTGAGGCCAATCATTTTTATTTTATTGACGCCAAATTGAGCAATGAACAAAAATTCTTTAATCCACTGAAAATAAAAAACTGTGCACTAAAATATGAAATGGAGCAAAGTTGGATAGAAAATTTGTCATCAAAGCCAGGAAGTGGAAGTAATTGAAACAATTAAAAGAGAATACAAGGTCTGAGAAAATATTCAACAAGGATCGAAGAGATCATCAATCCAAGACCTAAAATATTTGATGGGAAAAAAGTAAAGCAAAAATTATTGATCTCTCGAATTTGGCACATTAAAATGCGTTTGAACGACCACAACAACAGAAGTTCAGTATAGGCATAGGTAGAATGAGTAGCAGGGAGTGCCTAGAAATAAGCCTAGTGATTGGCCTAGCAATTTTTTCGACCTACACAAATAATAATGCAAACAATAATACAGTTTCTGTGGTCCAGGAAGTGTTACCTAACACCGGATTCTACGGTACAGTTACACAGTTCTCCGACAGCCCTTCTCCAGTCTACGTGCTTGAAACATTTCCGGACTGTTCCTTGCATTCGATTCACGTGTACGCATGGCTGGCATCTGCAAAGAAGCAAGCCGTGTCACGCTATGCGTGATAAATCAGGTAGTGAAATCGGTGGACTAACGTATATCTCTCAAAGCACTCTTCGAGACCGTCGCCTTCCATGGCGCAATCTTTGACACATTTTCCGATTTCGATTACAGCATCAAGCACTTTTTGAATTGGCTGAAGCGTAGGATTTGTAATAATTTTATTTTCTGCTTCCTGCAGCTTTTCTCCTGTCAGATTAATAATTTTCCCAATGTCCTGCTTCGGTATCTGAGGTCCATACTTTGAGTCAGCGCAACTGAAAAAGTATATGAAACTCTGCTACTGATATGAACAGTTGACAAACTACCATTTCTGATACTATTATTGATGACCATTTCCGCTTCTTCTTCTCATCAACCAATAGAAGAAAAGAAAGTGTCTTCTTCTTTTATAATTTATCATTCTTCGTATGAAATTTAGCAATGAAATAATCGCCTCTCAGTGCAAATTTAAAATTACATGATAAAGTCAGATATTCATTGTAAAAGGAAAAAACAAAATCATTCTGCTATCAATTTCGATAAATTTTAATAATTTGAAAATTAGACGATTACATCAGAAGTCATCAAAAATTGGATAGCACAATAAACAGACCATTTCATATTGGATTTAATACAAGTAACCAAGTGATCAGCGATCGGTTTTTGCTGAATAAAACATTGCCGTAGGTCATCGGGCCTTAACGTCACCTAAATATAACCTTTTTTACTGGCCAGTGCTAACCATCGAGCTTTTAACAATTTAGAAGAGTTTGTTCACTCCAATAAAGTAACCAGAGGGAGAGAGAGAGAGGGAATGGAGTAAGGAAGACGAGAAGAAAGCTTGTATTGACCTTGGTGGCATCTCGAGCCCAGCATCTGTCGAGACACTTCTGCAGCTTCAACTCAACGTCCTTCATGCAAATGTCTTCTTCCTCACACCAGCATTCTCTGATAGTCTCATTCGTGAACGTTGATTGCATGCTTCCCTAGGAAAGAGTTAAAATTTGCAGAGGAAAAGAAACAGAAGCAAATTTTAGACTATAGAATTCACCCGAGTTATCTCAGATATCTCGGGTAGCTATTCGCAGTATTTCTTTCTCCGCCACAGAGTAATCATTTGCTTTACTTATTTCTATGCATTGTCTTCAATTCACAGAAGTGATTGTTCCCAACAAGGAATTTTATAAGCAGCTGAGCACTCTTCTAGTTCTGATCAGTACTGTGCCACTTCATGAATTTACTGAAGTTTGCATCACATCACTTAAGCTAGCAAGGAAAAGGAAAACTTACAGCACGCAAAAGATCAGTTCGACCTGTTTGCATTAGCACGTAGCATAGTAGCAGTAAAAGAGAGCAGAAAGAGAGGAACATCAGATTTCAAATGAGATAAGTAACTAGTACGTCTCCTAAACATCATTTTATTGAAATATTGAACTGTGCTCTGTTAGCATATGAAGCGGAGACAAATGCGCAAGTAACGATATTTTACTGCGACGCTAGCAAATCTCTCTCTAAAAGCATCTCTGAGAGATGACTAGTATTACTCGGGTATATTCTTGACTGGTACTGTTGTCAGCTATTTGCTACCCTAGTTTATAAGACTGTCGAGATGTTTGTTGTGTGGAATAAAATTTCCATCGGGAATCTGGCAGGAAATGCTGCTGCTTTAAATTCTAAATATTGAATTAGCATATGTTCCTTAATAGTAACAGCAGCAGAAGGAAGAGGTGTTAATTAAGACTATTAGAGCTGAGAAGAGAGGGAGGTTTATTCCATTTAGAGATTAGGAAATTATAAAAAGTTCTTCTTTTGCTTCCTGTTTTCTCTCAGAGATCAGTCCACAAGGATGCATTTGCGGGCAATCAACAAAGACAAGAAAAGGTGGTATGCAGGTGGTAATAATCATTCCTGGTTTCACCTCTCTTCTCTCCTTCTGATATGAGTACTCACAATAAGAAAGGAAATGCTTCTTTATCCCAAAGGCTCTCGTGATACTCTCGTGAGGGATGATGACCTTCTGTCCACATCACAGATAACCTTCTTGCAAAATCAGTGACCCTTATCTCAATAAATTGCTGCCATCATTGCTTCTTGTAATGAATGCATCATTACTAAGAGTAGTTCGAGCAAGGTAACAGTATCGCAGGTAATTAGTAAATCTCGCACAAAATCATGCAAAACCGAAATGATCTTCTATGTGATCACGCCGCTGCAATATTTTCAGATGCAAAACTCGAAATGGAATGGGGAAGAAACGGAAGAAAGGGAAAATCTAACCTACAGCAAACTTGAACAGAGTTGGATAGAAAAGTAAAAGTAAAACAGAGAAAGCAAGAAAAGACTCAGCGTGATCTTTCTGAGAAACTGAAACAGGTGGGTATTCAGAGCTGAATCATTTCAACTCTCTCCTCATTACTCTTCTACCCTTACTTGTTTTCCAGCTTTAATTATTTTTTTCACCAGCAAAACCGGAACTCTTCGTCACATTTCAACTTCCCACCTATTTGCTTTTCCATTAAATAGAGGAATACTATATATGCATTGCTGTAAACAAATTGTAATACATTCGATGGCCCTCTCTCTCTCTCTTTCTTATCAAATAAGGTAACAGAAAGTAGAAATAACATTACTTTCAGAGTACCAATACTAGCAAGATTACCGATCACCGATCACCGACACTTGATTTTATCGCTGTGATAAAACACTACCAAATTAGTGATACGTCTAAAGACAACAACCAAGGATAAGAAGGGAAGCAACCTTACATGACGTTTTTTCTTGACTTCGTTACTCAGTCAGACTAAGTCCACCAAAAGCTACCGTGATTTGACCTTGGAGGAGAAATTCCATCTGTGTAAATTGCTCTCTAACTGCATCATTCCAGACGAATTTCTAAATACTGCTAATGACACTATCTTCTGAAATTGGTCGAGATCATTAGTCGAAGTTGCACCGCTGCTCCGGTTTTTGCTAAAGAGGAAACAATCTGCTTTTTCGCGTCAAACGGAAGCGTCCTTCCTCCCGCACCATTTTTCCATCATTACTTATTATATTGTGCTTGTTCTACTCGTTCTCACTACTTTCCGATCTTTTTTACTACTGAACGTTATATAAACAACTAATGCAAAAATGATCGAAATAGAGCAGGGAAGATGATGGACCGACAAGCAGCATTTCTAAGCAGAAACTTCATACTTCAGTGCTTCTAGATTTAAAAGTTATCTGTACTCCTTCTTCCGTATTATTTGATAATATATAATTTTAATGTAAACTGACTGATTCTCCTAGAGACATGTTTGAGTTCAGTTTATGTTACACAACAATGAATGTCAATACAACAAATAACAAAATTAGCAAAACTGGCACGGTGTGTATGTAGCAAATCTATTCAACCACAAATGCATCTGAAGGAATAAACTATGAAATTATATTCAATCAGCTGTTCGTCTTTTTTTCACCTTTCGTTTCAATTTATTTTTTCGAATTTTCTTTCGTGCCGCGCTAATCGGGTCCAAAACAGCCTCTTCCTGTAATTTTGAAATCAATTATAGAAAATGATGTTAACGCTAACGCATAATTTCTGTTCGAATGTTTCAAACAAACGACGTTAGCAGTTTCGAAAGAGAATGATAAAAGAATTCCACAACAATCAGCCAACCTTTCTTCTTCGTTTCCTTCCTTCGAGTTTAGCGGCGAACAATTTATTGCATTCAGCTACCTGTTTTGTAAATTCTTCGTCACCAATCCTTCCTTTTATTGTATCCGCTACTTCTATTGCGATCTTTTGCAATATTTCAGTGCCTTGAACAGATTATGATTATGATCCACACATTCGATATAATGGCACTTCAGCCCTAATATTTGGAAGCTATAGGAACTTAGCAGTAGTTTTTTTTTTTGGCGAATTAATGATGATTTCATAAAATGTACTTTGTGTTGATTTGCCTTGCATTTCACGACAGAGAGAAGGCAATAATGATTGTATCACAATATTGCTTCGGCTAGGATCAATTTTCAAGACGATGACTGCTGTCACTTTAAAAACATTGATTCTCTGCAATGTGAAATTACACAGTGAAATAAAGTTGATATCTGTCTATCACTGAATAAGCAAATTTACGCGAAAATACTTTCAATTTGGAAAAAAAAAAAACCCACAGTTCAAAAGCAAGAGAATATGTAAAAGAAGTCTCACTCGAATATTTTCAGCTGGCAGCTTGACTAACTCAAAATTACACAACACACTCAATCTGTGACATAGCCATCGAAGATCATTATCTGATTGAGCAACTACATCAAAAAGGTATACCAAGTTCTTCGCTACCTGAAACAGCAACATACATATGAATAAAGTTAAAAACATCAGTGGAAACTAGCTGATGGTATAAAATAGATAATGGATCAATTTTTATGATTTCAGAAATCCAACCTGTTCAGCTAGTTCGTTGGTTAGTTGGTAAGTTTTCATCTGCGCCAGTGTCCACTGCAAGAACTCTCGGACAGATGGATCACTTCGTAACAACATGTAATCTTTATTCAGAATGGAAAATAATGAGCCAAGAAATCGAGCTGCAGATAGTTGAACAGTTGGTGATTTGCTACATCGCGCAAAAGGACCCATTTCTCCTAAAAATAATCGTGAACTGATCTAAATAATAACTGTAGCTAAATTTATGAATACTTACTTAATATAGAATCTAGCAATCCTTCTTCAGCAAACTGGATCGTTTGGTTTTTGTGCTCGCTTATCAACGAATTCAGGCTATCAATAATTGTACCAATGCTTTCTTCAGCATATGAATATAAGATATCAGCACGAACGATTTCCGACAGTTCAGGTGATAATTCTCGGAGAATATTTTCAAATTTTCTACCTTCCAACCTACTAAATATTACTAGTGCTTGCACGGCAATACAAATGTATACTTCCTGAAAATAATATATCTGGATATGTATTAACTTAATGGTTAGCTATTTTTCAAATACACATTAATAAAAAACAATTCTCAACTAGTTTTTGAGCAGTTATCACGATTAAACTAGCCTTTTTACTTTCCAGCCAATCCCTTGTTGCTAAGTAGAGATCATCTCGCTTAGATTCTGATACAGATACTACCAACTTCTGTATAGTCAAAACAATCATCCGACGACATTCTGCACTTTCATCGTTCATTAGTCGGGCTGCTAGCTTTACAAACGCTAATAAAGCATAATCATCATTAATTTCCTGTAAGTAAACAGTACTGTGCATACAACCAAAGCTTTTTCAAAGTTAAAAAGTAATCCCATCAACTGAATTTTTCAAAAAACACAATACATACAAACAAATCAGTCATGAATGATTGGTCAGTAATGATACATCAGTACATTAATGAGCTATTCAGTAACAAAGCCTGGTCACAAATTAATGTATTACTAACTTTCAGAAATGCGAAAATAACAGACAAACTTTTGTGAGTTTCTCAAAAAATATGTTCAGCATTTCAACTGCAGATTTTCTGCCGTCTTCGTGCTGATAATCAAGTTGTTCCAGGAAGAATTCAACATATTTCGACGGCTTTTTACATTGCGGGTGGCTTCCAACAAATATGGCAATCACCTGAACCAAAACTCAATTCTCGAGAATGTATTTTTTTCAAGACCAAAAAAGAAAAGAATAATACCAACCATGTCACACAAAATTTATTCCAAGTTTTCCTCGGATTACCTTTTTATCATTACTAGCAATCTTATTTCACTTATGCAAAGGTAAGGACATTTGCCAATAATCACACTTTCGTAATCAAATATATTAACTAAATTAATATACCATTTAATGGACATCAACTAAGCTATTTTCAACGAGTTCTTTTGTATCAATAAATTATTCAAGCACATGTCTTAGTAAGTTCAGATGAGCACTGATCATGAAAATGGGTAAAGAAGCATGTGCAGGACACTGCAAATGAGCCACAGAAGACAACGAAAATTGTTTCAAAGTGAAGCAAATCAAACTAATAACATTCATGTAGTGATATGAGCTTTGTATAATAACATAAAGTAACTCTTGACATGTTGATTTCAGATATCATTTCTCCCCAGCACTAATACGGGGATACAATTATGAATCTTAAATCCTCCATTTTTTTGAACAGTGAGAACCTTAATTTGACAAAATGAGCTTTCGATGCTTACTTGTTGCAAAATTAAATTCTAAAAGCTGAAAGAAAAAAAAAATTGTATGATTTAAACAAGGGCTAACCTGCCTGCATTGCTCTCGAATATGCGAGATTTCTGATATAATAGCAGTTTCTGCGAGATACTGAATGATTTCGATGATCTGAACAAGTTTATATCTAACTCCTCAAAATTTAATCTAAACATAATGTAGAATTGCTTCTTAGTACCAATAGAAATAATTAATGTAAGATACCAATGTCTGTAATTTTTTATTTTAATTTACGTAGCTAAATTGACTTTCCCAATCTCACTGCACACCACTATATTACTGGCGATTGTAACTGCCTTTTAACACATAACAATTCTATTTTCAATTAAGTTTACCTTTGGATCTTGAAGCTTGCGGATAATCACTGCTTTGATAAGTGGGAATGCTACTGCCTGCTTCTGATTATCAATAATATCAGTCTCAACATAGGTTAGAAGTAATTGTAAACGTTTCGATGTAAGCACAAGAGAGGGTGCATCCTTTATTATTTGCGTAATAGCCTTCAAAAATTGTTCCGAAATTCAGGAAATTTTGAAAAAAGTTAAGTTTTACGAAAAAAAAAAACTCTAAATCTACTTTCGAGATCATTAGAGGAAGAGAAAAGTGATAGAAATTAAAAAGAATAATTCGTTACTGCTTTTCCTGAAGTCTTATGAAGCTGTTCTTTAGTAACATTAATCTGTTAATCTTTAAATAAAGAGAAACCAAATGCTGCATGAATCAAAATATTGAGAAAAACAAATCTACCTTAAACACTAGCTGAGAAACTTCCGCAGATTTTCGGACATACTCTTGGGTATTGCCAGTTGCACTCGAAGTTGTATAATCAGCTAACAGGATGAATAAACGGTTCAGGAACTGAGTCATAATCGACCGCAGTGAAGGAAGAGGGAATCTCAATAATATCAGGAAGCAACGCAAAGAATTAACAAGGATCTAAACTAGTTGAAAATAAGAATTACATTAATATAATTTTATAACTTTGAATGATTACAGCAAAAGAATTTTATCTTCACAGTATTTCAACTACAATGCATTAAATCTAACTCCATATATTGTTTCACATTTCATTATTAGTTCAAAACGTCTAAATAATTCTTTGAGCCGACTAGAGCAGAAGAAATCACGAGCAAAAGCAACGAAGAACACAAAATACAAGTGCTTAACATCCTTACCTTATCATATTTTAGAGTTAGACATTTTAAAATAATATCAACAAATGGATCTAATCGCGCAATGTCGTCCTTGGATTCCACATCAAAACTCTTCTTTTTCAATATCAAATACAGCTCAGAGAGGCCAAATTCAACAAAAATGTGCATTCTACTCCTTGTTGCCACTTTAACAACCACTCCTACACTGAAATTACCCAAATATGCCATTCGCTGCAGACAACTATATCGCATTAAGGGGGACATTACAATAGCATAGTAGACTACAGTCATAAAGTTATCTTAAATTTCGACTAAGAATTAATTACAAGTACTTTTTATTCCTTGAAGAAAACAACTTCCTCACTCGATCTTTTCCTCCCTATTATCTCCACCCATGTTTTTTATGTCTTCATTACTAGAAGGATAATAACCAAGTTAAGTATTTTTATGGAAAAAGTGACAAAATCTACTTGAAAATGGATTTTATTTTATCTAATTTTACAACTTCTGCTCCAGATTAATACCAAATACAAAGTTGATTCTCGAATTTTAAAAATGTTCCTAAGTATAAAAATAAATTACCGGTTGGGTTCATTTTCCAATACCAAACAACTTTCTGGACGTTTCCCTTCCTTTGCTTGTTTCGCATTTAGTTGAACACCGGTCCTGTTCTCCAGATTTTCTATTATTTGATCGTTTAACAGTTGATATGCAAATATCAACGCAACTTCAGGTTTAATTCCTTCATTGGCCGATATTCCCAATGAATACTGCCACAATAAACGACTTACCTTTCGCACTGTTTTTGCATCTGGTGCAGATTCTATGATCTAAAATACGAGCATACAAATGAACAACGAAAAGGATATAAACATACCATTCACCATTCAAGAAAGAAATACGAACAAAAAAAAATAACACTTTACTTCCAAAATCTAGTAGAAAAACCTTTTTCAAGACTACTAGCGCACTGCCAAGACATTGAGAGCTTATATATCGACCAAGTAATCTATATGTCTCATATGCTCGTTGTATTTTTGCTTCCGGTACATCTTTGGTAATGCCAGATATAGTCTTTTCTTCAGCTGTATCGCCAAATAAATCCATGGTGCAAATCTAAGGTCAACTGATAGTTTATTCAAGTTCAAGTTTTAGCTATAGCCGAAATTCAAATTCAATTTTGAGCACCCACAAAACTTTCCATATATTTCAATGCTTTAAGGAAATTCTATCAAAACGACAACTACCAAAGTACTAAAATGCTTACATCGATGATATCCATTAGACATGAGTCTAAGTCACCAGTACAAAGCTGCTCCTCCATAGCTGACAATAGCTTGTGCACATAGAAAATCATCACATGAAGCTAAAATGAGTAGCTATTTCTTTCAATTAAATTAAAAGTTTATTTTAACTTTGAGAAATAGTTTTTGTGGATCTTTAAGTCGATATAGAAAATAGGACAGAAGATGATCTGGTTCTAATAAATAGATAATGACACAATGCCAAGCAGTTTCGCAAACATAAGCGCTTTAAGACACTTAATAATATGAAAGAGGTGGATGAAGGAAGCTATCAAAGCCATCAGAGTTGATAGAGAAGAATACCAGAATATGATCTTATTCAAAATATCTACTGAAGTAACAGAAAAAAGTGTCACTAATATTAACAAAACAATGGATCAAATATAAAAGACAATTGAGATATAAGCTATTAATACTAACAAGTGCTGAGTAAACATTTAAGTAAACTGTTGACAAAAAAAAAAAAAAAAAAATCACTCTATATTTAAGTGGCGGAGAATTATGATCTGATAAAAAGTATACCTGATAACCTTTTCTCATGGTCTGCTTCATTTCTCGTATTATGAAACGAATATATTTAGGACCCAATATTTTAGCAATTTCGATAACAGTCTTACCCGCCGCTTCCCGTACACTAGTTGATCGTGACATCAACAAAGAGCAGACCTTGATTATCACACTGTAAAAAAAAGTAAAATATTTGAACCAAAGAAATCTGGAAAAAATTAGTTCTTAATCAATTGCACTATACGCAAAAAAAAACCAAAAAACTTATGTTTTAATACCAGGATTGACACAAATTAAATATGCGAATTACCCAGGCAAATTATAGTCCATAATTTTTTGCGGCATTTTCTGAAGTAGCTTGATGGTAGCCAACGCAACAGGAGCCCTCTGTATGTCATCATCTTCTTTATAATATTTCCCGGACTGGGCTTTTCGATGAGATACTAAGTCCTGCAAGAACCGACTCGTTTATTTGTTTAACAATATGAGAGAGCACTAATTATTGGGTGCTATTTAAAATCATAGTGAAAGCTTGCTTACTTTACTGGTGGCGCAGTCTTTTAGTCGTGGTATCAAATACCCGACAACCTTTTGATGTATTGATGAAGTGCTCTCTTTCAATGTATTACTAGGGTTCACTTCAGCTGTGCCATCTTCAATCCTAGTTTCTGTCCAATCTTCAGATTTATCATTTATTTCACTTTCTAACTCGTCATTCGTTCTTCTCTTTTTTATAACAGATTCATGCTGCTCTCCTTCGGAAACATTAAAGTGAAAAGCATCTACGAGAGCAACAATGATCCTGAAATCACACAACTCTTTAACCGAAAAATGAGCATCACAATATCTACAGTAGCAATGAAGTCTTCTCTGATTAGAAGAGACGACGATTCTATCTATTTTGTGTGTAGTCTTTATTTTTAAAAAGATGTATTTGACTTGTCTTAAACAAGTAACTATCTCAAAAGGCATAGATTTAACTCATGACACAAGCCTCTAGGTAGCATATGACCGTTCAAATTTTGAAACTTGATGAATTAGAAGAGTATAGATAATCCAGGGTAACTTTAGCTTCGTCTAATCAGAAAAAGGTGACCGATTAACAAAATTATGGTTGTGATGGACATCAAACCAACAAGTAATCATTCAATTCCACAGAAATGTTATAAAATATTCAGTTAACCTTACTTTTGCTGAAATTCAACTTGAAAATTTTCAAATGGTTGGGAAATACAGTGTGAAAAACTCTTAACGATATTATAGTAATAGTAGTGCGGAACCTTGAAACATCGCTCGATAGGTAAAAATGGAGGTTTAAAAAATGGACGCAAAAAGTTATGAAACAGTTTTTAATATGGATTCCACAAATTAAAATGTTTGTCATTGGACTGATACAAATCGGAAAGAGGAAGACAGTCTGGTCAATCTGACTAGTAATATCAGGAAAGAAACAAAAATTATTCCGAAAGCTTATAAAAATTATCCAGCCAAAGTTATACATAAAACCTAGATTTTGAGAAAGAGCTTATGCTAATGAATAATTAATTGACAGAAGAACTAAGTGAAAGATGTCAATAAGATTTTATAGCAAAATGAAACTGAAGTAATTCTTCTATATGTTTCACTTCTAGTCCTTATTTAAAAAGCAAAAATCAGCCAGATTTTTACATCAATCAAAACTTAACTATGCCACAACTTTAAAAGTTCTGATTAGTTGAAAAGCAAAAAAGAGAAAAATTCGAGGGTTCCAGTAAACTTTAAAAGCCGATTACTTAGACCAAATAAAGTTACAACTATAATTAAATTTCAATCTAAAATTTCCTAAAAAACGATAATTATCAAGAGAGAGCAAATAATCGTAATAGACCCTCACCAGTTTATTTTTAATTGAAAATTATCTATTCCTTTTTCAGAATAAAACATTAATCCAGTGTTAAATTAAAGGTCATAACTCAAAAAAAAAAAATTGAAACGTACCTTATAATTGCTTTGTGATTAACATTAACACTTTCTTTTTTCAAACGCTTCATATAGAAATCCAACATTGGAAAGTATCTGAAACATTAACATCGTTTATTAGCGGAATCAATATATTTTCAGGGATGTACCAAAACTTTCACAAGTTGCATGAACTGTGGTTACGAATCATGGGTTGCGAAATGGGAAACTAAAAAGTTCTCATGTTTGTTTATTCGTCAATAATGCCAGTTCATTATTCCGAAAGCTTATAAACTACAAAAGTGAAGTTTCTAAAATAATGAAAATAAAGAACTAATGACAAAGGAATAATGATAACTACAAACTTTTCTCAACTTACTTTTTCCACGGTGCGCCACGCATTATTTGCGTAAAAAGTGCTAGAGCAGCATCGCTAAGGGCTGATGTACTACTAGATAAATTCACCATGTAAGGTTGCAAAAAGGGCAGCAGGAAACGAAGCAATACTCCGTTTGGAATACGGATCTGTAATGTAAATTTTTTAGGCACAAGTGATGCTATGTAAAATTACTACACAAAAGCGAAATTTCTAAATTTTGTGCAAAATGGATTATAAATAACAAATACTAACTTTCTCCGACTGCAAACTTTGAGCAAGTTTGTAAAACGCACGCTGTCGCCGATGAATTTGCATATGAGTAACGTTCTCGAAGAAGTCTAAATCAACTTCTGCAGTATTCCTAAGTGATTCAAGATGGCGAAGATGTTTGTGTGTCGGGAAATATATAATCATCGAAACCAACAGATTAGCAAAATCATGGCGTATTACCTAAAATTTTAACTGATTTGTCTACCAATCATTTATACAACTCGTTGTGAATAAATACAAAGTGAAACTTTCCTCTTCGTATCGACAAAGTTTAGATCAAATATCAATAAGAAAGAAATTAGAGAATACCTCCTTTGCATCATGTAAGCCCCTTAGAATAAGAGGTAACATATGAGAATCAACTCCATTTTGTTTCTCACGTCCATTCATATTACATTTTCCAAAGTATTCAATTATACTGTGAAAATTTTTGGTTGCAGCTGAACGCAATGAAATATCATTCACCTGAATCACATAAAAAAAAAAAAAACATGAATTAACTCGACAAATAGAATTTCTTTTTAAAAATTTTTCATAAAAAATGAGATAAATTGTGATGTTTTTGCGTTAAACTCTTAGTTTCACATAGCTACAAAGCGGCCCTTTAAAAAATCATAAGTACCTGAACAATAACATAATAATCGTTATGCAATATCAGATAGAGTAATATTGGTTCAATTACTTCGTCTGTTGTTAAAGCCTGGAAATTTCGAACAAAAAAGCTTCTAATCACTCTGGATAGTCTTGCACTGAGAAATAACGGTCAAGACTAAAAACAATTTCATATAAAAGAGAGGACACTAACCTTAAGGAGATTTAGATAAGCGCAGTGTCGTTTATCATAATCAGGCTCATCAATTCGTCTTCCATCCCATGCATCTAAACTTGCCACATAGCTCAATAATTCCGCTTTCCTTTTATCGTTTTCCATCAGTTTTATTACTATAGCTTGTTCAATTTTTTGCAGAGTTTCACGATGCGAACGCTCCTTTAATAAGGACTGCACATTTGTAAGATTTCTGAAAATTTTTCTTATTTGCATTTATTTATCAAGAATTTCTTTATTAATAAAGTTCCATGTTCAATATTAACATATGATATATTATGGTTGTACATCTATAATAGATGACCAACTACAGAAATTCTTCACGATGCAGATAACTCCAATGTCTAGCGGTGTCTTTCATATATTTATAACACAAGTCTTGCAATGGATATCGAACATTGTTTATTTTTATTTTTTTCAAAAGAGAAACCAAAGTTATGAATGTTTCATACTAGAAATTATTATTAGCTTCATGCAAATTTAGAAGTTAATCATCCGCCTGAAAATTGCAATTTATGAGAAAGTTCTAGTTGAAGTTTTAGACAATTACTTTAAAAATTGAGTCGGATCAGTTGCTACTGTAACCATCCGTAAAACAGTTAGAAGCGAAGATTGAACTGCATCATCGGAACGTACAATTCCTGATTCCAAAAATGTTAGTAGGATTGAAACATATCGTCTAATCATTTCTTCATCCCGAATGAACTCACTTATTCTAAAATATTGAGCACATTTTAGAAACTATAAATCTTTCATGGTTGTTATTTCAAATCTTTGTGCACCCTCTCAGTAGTTTGTATTTGAAACGGATTAACAAATTAATGAAAAAGACCATACGCTTTCAAAAATAGTCTAAATGAGAAGAAAGGCTGCCGACCTGTTCAAAACTTCCAAATGTTTCGTATTGAGTTTACGACTTTCACCTTGTACAGGTAAGGAGTCAAAAATAAATACTAAAAGTTTCGGCAATTCAGGTAGAACCATAGAGGTTCCACTGTTTAAACCTGAAACAGTACTGCATGAAACATCAAACAGTAGCAAAGAATATGACACTGCACAATACGGGCAACAGGACAAATGTAGAAAACAATAAACACAAATCTGAATTTATAGAATCGTTTTTGAGGCATTGATTTTGAAGCTAGATTTAGCAGAGAGAGAAACATCAGTCATTACACAAAAAATTTTAGTTCAAAATATATACGATACCATGTAATATGGCAAATAAGACTTGTTATCATTCTAAATAATTGATGTTCATGGTGGGACAGAAAGAAATAAGCTCCACTTACCAGGAATTTCCGGAAGTTTAGCTAGGTTGATATCTACCACTGGACCAGACATAACCTCATCTGCCAAAGTAAGCAAACTGAGCAAACCATCAATGATTTTCTCTTTCACCAACTTGCTAACACTTTTCGATGCGAGCATGCTACATACGATTGAAAGCACTGAGTGTGACACCGTACCGCTGGTTGATGGAACTTGGAGACGTAAAAGGTAGAACAGTCTGGAAAGTATTAAATTTTTAAGCTTTCAGCAATTAGTTACTAAAGTGGATTTAGAGAATTAAGTACATCGTGCTGGAAACTGTAAGCTGTGAACTCGATTTATATAAAAGAAAAGGTCGTTTCGAGACAAAAGTCATATAATATTTACTTTGGAATCGATGTCCATGAAAGAAATAGTCGCAGAAAATTAAGGGGAACTTCTGGAGAACCATCATCATGAAATATACATTGTGGGACAATAATGTACACCAAAAATGCATTGATCTCATCGGCTTCAAACATGCGATTTTGACATACATGGAAAACCTAAAGTTACGACAAAAATTTTAAATTATAAAACCTAACAAACTATTCGCAACTTTTAACATCGATTACTAGGTCTTGGAAAAGTTTTTTTCTTCTTTTTTCTTTTTAATGTAACAAGGCAAGCAATTAACAACCGAGATATAAGAAGCAAACTAACTTCTTTAAAAGCACTACAGGCAAGTCGACGCAATTCCCTCAGTCGTTTGACGAGATACGGCTGATCCACAAGCAAATTCTCCATTGCCAAACGAGAAAGCAGGGCTGCAGCCAAGCAAACCCGAAACAATAACTGTTTTTGGGCATTTGTTAGCACTGGTGAAAGCACGGTTGCTATCAATGAGATACTACGAAAGCAGCTGAAATCGGAAATGTGCTAAGAAATTCGTACCTGTTGCATGCTTTGCGAGAGATTCGAACCTATTGGTTCCTCTTTAACAGAACTGTAATCTATACTTCAACAGAACTACATTTTTTACTAGCTGACTTTTATCTAAACAACAAGAATTAAGATATTTTGATTACTGTTAAAAATTCATTTACACATCTAATCCGGATTTAGGAGACAGAAACTCACTCCATCTACTTACTCAATCTCTTGACGTGCTCATTCACTCATCAATGCTAATTAAAATATGTTCCAAACAGTTATCGACCGATTTTAATTAAATTACGAGAACAGGATCCCTTTCTGAATCTCATTCAGCCCCAATGAAAAAGACAGCTTTCGCTGAAGAACTCCAGTTTCAAAAAAATTCCAAAACGGCTCTGTCAAAAACAACTACAAATGAACCAAACCCTGAACTTACCACTACATTCCTAACAATTCATTATAATCTCTAATAATTTAATTATCTGAAGGTATAAATTCGACATGATAATAAAAAGGCAGTTGCATGATCGAACTTCCAACATGACCTATTCCTTTGCTTCCATTTAAATTTCAAATTACGGAAAATGGAATGAAATAAGCAAAGATTACTGCTGATAAAAGCTACAGGAGCATGTTTTACTATTTCGTGCTGCACAACAGCTTTTTCTCCTATCGAATTTGCAGATGGATTTAGTGCATTCAATACACAATCTTAAGAATAATGTCAGCTGTGCATTGACTTCTTACTGGGAAGTGTGAGAAGTGGTGATTTTCAGGATAAAAAGATAAAAAATTTTTAAATAATTCCACTCATACTCTATTCTAAATCGGTGTTTCTGAATTCCCCCAAAAATCTAAGTAATTTAGATTACTTAGATACGACAATTTCATTTTTGTTTGAAAATTATGAAATAAAGATATCTTTGGAATCATAAATTGCACCAACCTATTAAATTGTAATTCAGAATATTACGAATACAGAGACGATATATATTCTGCACTCAACGACGAATGAATGTATTCGATGTGAAAATGGAGGAAACTATTTATGTGAAAGCCAATCATCTACAGCTCCTATTAGAAAAACTTTTTCCCAAGAAAAGAAATATGAAATTGTCGTTTTAATGAGCAAAGAACTGATTCAAAATGAAAACTCAACTGATTCCTCTCATAACGTATTCATACTTATTGTATTGTATTCACATATGAAACCGAAAATGAAAACACTTGTCTTGAACATGATCAGATCTCAAATGCACAGATCAGATTGATATCAAATTCTTATCTAAGTGTTTGGACCAAATTCTCAGTGAATAACGATGAGTGAGTGAATGAACACAATAAGTATTTTAAGATCATTCATATACTTGTCTTTTTCTTTTTTTCAGAAAGAAAATTATGTATTACAGCGAGTAAATCATTTTGTAAGAGATGGATCATAAAGTAAAAAAATTGGAATGTGCAAGAGAATTACTAAAATCATTTGCTATTACTTATTACGACTGTTTCTTTTCTTCTTTTAGTGTTCAAAGCATTAGCTCTCCTCTAGAAGACAATGAGGTTAAGAAAATACTTAAGCATAATGTTATATATGCATATATATATATATACACACACACACACACACACACACACACACACACACACACTCAGCAACACAACTGTTCATTTCACTGCAATCAGCAAAACTGCTCTGTGACATGAGGAAGGGCCACACAGGGATGAGTTCGAATTACAACTGCAGCAACCATCGACTATGTTATCAAATCACACCAACTTTATCAAATTACTCCTTTTAGTATAATGATTCATTACTTAATCCTTGCTATCACCGTGCTATAAACTAAGTCACTGCTACGCTTCACTGAATACCTATTAGGACGATTACAATTTATTGACTTTTTTAGGCATTTTAGTTTTTTCGATTCTATTTTGGCTTGCTCGAAACTATCCTAATGATGAGGTTTGGCCATCACTAGGATAACACTCAACATCCAACTATTCGATTTGTGTTATTACAATGCATTTTTTTATTGTTCGCGATGTCTCATTTACTAGCTTTTTTGATTTCTCACAAACCTAATATTTTCCAATTTATCTTTAACTGAAACTAATGCATTTCAGATTTTAGAGTTAAAAGATTACATACAAAAAAAAACTAATGGGTTGAGTTGAGAAGAAACTAAGCATAATTCACATCCCATGTAAAAGATGATCAATCATGCCTGTAGGTTTATTGGATTTACGAGAATCAAGCAAGAAGCCAGTATGCATGTCTCTATTCAGTATTATCATCGCTGCACGAATTATCTTCGTACAATCATTAGGAATATTTACCGAACAAGAATGCCTGTAAATTTTATCTGTACAATACCTTATTTTTTTCCTCATCCAAAAACTAAATTTACTACTACTACTACTACCATACAGCTATTGTGTAAGAAAAATTTACGCTTTTGTTATCTCTAAACTATAATTGGTTCCCTTACAACAATTCAACAGCTTTTCCCTAATTATTTCAACACTTTCATTTCTTTTTGTCTTAGTCAAATGCTGCTGCAAATGAAAGAACAAAGTTTGAGTTAATCATAAATATTTGCAGATTTGACCCAACGCCACACTCCAAATGGAAAGCATGCAGTTGCGAAAATTTTGATGGTGAAGGTAACATCCACGTAAAATGTAACCGTCAACCATGGACAATCATACCAACCATTCCATATGATAACCGATCACTTTTCTCTCATAATGTTAATCTAATTTCCAACTTCATCATCACTTCTTTTATAGCACTTGACTATGATAAAAATGAATAAGATAGTAAACAAATGATATGCACCCATTTCAGGATACGGTTTACAACATTGTTGCACTATCAGTTAAGCATAGTAGTGTGACGTTTATCAAACAGGATGCACTAAAACATCACAACATTCAAATACTCGACCTCACCAATAATCACATCGAAGCAATCAACGTTAACGCATTTCGCGGTCTTGAGGTAGAACAGTCCATCATTTACTTTATTTAGAAGTTAACAAAAGCCTAAACTAAAAATTTTTTAATTCTAACATCAGGAAAGAATACTTGCGGTTTCAATGAATGTCAGAAATTGATTAATTCAAGACTAGTGACAAGATCTTTTCATCACTTTTTTCTTCCAGAACAAACTTTATCAATTAACGTTGAATCAGAATAGCCTAACGTCAATACCATCCTCGGCGATGACCTACCTTTACCAGCTACGGTATCTGCACTTGGTTCATAATATGATATCCGAAATTAAATCAGATACATTCGATGAAACTCAACTCAAAAATCTTCATTACTTACACCTCGACTATAATCAGGTTACCAAGACTGTTTCAGTCCTGTTATCGATGTGCACTCAAGTGAGACTGATCCACTTTTTTTAGAATTTCAAAATATTAGGGGAACTACTATCCTTCAAATACTGAAAAAAACATTACTTACAGATAAGTATGCTACCGAAAAAATCGCTTTTACGATTGCCACTACAAGTGCTGACGCTTTCAAATAATCGGATCATTGAGATTGAAAAATTAGCACTACCAACGACAATTTGGTTCTTGGACTTGAAAAGCAATCTCATTCCCGAGGTACCTAGCCATTATGTTTTTACAAAGATCACAGATCGTACTTAAAAACTCCAAAAAACAAATTACTAAAAATTTGTGGTTTACAACCTTAATTGAATAATATTTTGACGAAAATGTAGAGGTTTCGCAAAATTGCAAAAAATTTTAGACTCCCTTTTGGGTGATAAAAAATGGTTTCTCAGGAAATATAAAATTTCATTACAAGATGCTCAAATTTCTAAATACTCTGCGAACAAGGGGAATTTTCATATCTCTCGTCTGAAAAATATTTAGAATTCTGGGAAGAATTCATACTCATCAATTGAAGAAAATTCCTGTGCGTTTGGGAGGATGAGGAAATGTGGCATAGAAATTGTACTTACTTTAAATAAAGAAGCAACAGATGTGATAATGGTAATAGTTATGACAATAAAATTTCAAAGGAAGCGAGAAACAGAAATTTGAAGCAATAAATTTAAGAAGCGTATAATAATGGATAAAAGGATTTGGGGTATTGATTAAAGCTGTTAACACAGATCCAGAAATTGCGGGCTCACATTCAAATTGATTAGGATATTAGCAACAGATTACTTCCAACTATTTCTCAAATACTCGATTAAGATGCTATTAAGTAAATCTCAAACATCCGAAACAACGTGTTTTACAGTGACATGATACTTATCAATATATAACAATGAGCAATATACTATTGTAACATCAAATTCGTGTACAATGATAGTTATGTAAACCAACAAATGATAAAAACAGGTGTAATAATGCAAAATGTGCCAATCATAGATTCCAAAATTTTCAGATACCATATCTCGCGCTACGAGAGTTGAAACAACTACGCACTTTAGACTTGGAAAGTAATAATATCACTGAAGTGACTAACAACCCCGAAGTGAAATTTATTTCGGAAATAGATCTAAAACTAAGCAATAATCGAATCAGACATATTAAAGACAACGCTTTTGATAGCTTTCAAAAGTTTGGTCGATTAGATTTAAGCTATAACCAGGTGAACCTTCATATTACAATTCCAGAAACCAATCAAGAAATAGATAAGAGGTTAAGCCTAATGGTAAGATAGCACTTTTTGACATAAAACGTTCGTAAATGAAGCAATTAACACAACTGGATTACTGGACAGCCCAGGAGACTTAAACCAGAAATACAATGCAAAGAAGATATAAAACTACAGCAAAGATCCAGAAAGTTACTTCTAACTTTTAGATTTCAACAATATCTGAAGCTGCCTTCAATTCAATCAGTCAAATACGACAAATCGACTTAAGCTATAACAGAATAGTACGTATACCAGTGGATACATTCAAAAATGTGGCCAAATCGTTGAAATGGATAAATTTGGAAGAGAATCAATTACATCAACTACCAAATGCTTTGCAGCCGTTACGGACACTAGAGATTCTCAATATGAATGGCAATAAATTGACTGCGTGAGTTAATTTTCTTCCTCGAATACTTAAGGAGTGAAAAGCAAAGAATAAATTTCGCTTAATGAAAAAACTGTAAGTAAATTTAGCTCCGCCTCACAAGCGACACAGTAATTTGATAGAAATCGATAATCTTTTATAAATCAGTATTCTGACTGCATAATCGGCCATACTTTTTTGACGGGATCTTAAATCAATCCAATTCATTACCTTATCTCAAACTGCTACAGATTGGATACCAATACAATTAATAACGTGAAACCAGTTTTAACCGAGCTTCTGCTAGCATTTAATCGGCTAATCGAGATACCAAGTCAAGTACTGAATGGGATGAGTCGATTACGACATCTCGATTTGTCAAAGAATAGGATTCGATATGTGCGACGCTTAGCTTTCGGAAAACTTGATGGTACTGGAACAAATTTACTGAAGTTGAATCTGGCTGGAAATTTGATTGAAAATATTACTGACTCTGGTGCTTTTCTCTACATGAGTTCACTCGTATACTTGGATTTGTCGCACAACCGCATCAACTACCTTAATGATAATGCCTTTGAACGACTCGAAGGTGTCGAGTCGGTGTCGAGTCCCTCTTTCTACAGGTAAAACTGCCAGTAGAAACAGTATAGTAATGAAACATTTTGTCAGTGCTAAGCATAAACTAACAGTAAATATTATCTATTTCTTTTATATTAATAAGTATATCTCTTCATTTGCAAAAAATATGCTCCACTTCAGGGCAATCAACTCAATCAGTTTCCCATTACTGCCCTGGGTAATATGAAACGCTTACGTTATCTACTTTTGGATGATAATCCGATACGGGTTCTACCTGACTATGTCCTAAGCATTCTCCCACATCTACAACGGTTGTCGCTCACTCGTACAAGACTTCAGCACATCACAGATCGTACATTCTCTGGGCATTCTGCACCAAATTTACGTTCTCTGAATTTGGCTTTCAACCGTATTGACTATATTTCTACTGCAGCATTTAATAATATGGATAGTTTGGAACAGCTGGCACTTAACGACAATAAGTTGACAAGTATTCAAACACTAGTAAGTTTCGAATTATCCAATAGTTTAAGCAGAAAAAGTGAAGAAAATTTGATTTTTTAGCAAGAAATTTATTAACAAAGAGACAGTCCTAATGTTGAATGAAAGCTTTGTAGAAATAAGCTAGTAAGGTAGTGTGTATAATAAATGTTGAGCAAAGCTGATTTATGATTTGCAACTAACAATTCCTGCCATGGAATAAGAATAACCTACTGCTAACTACTGATAAAATGCTTGGCATAAACAATTGCAAACATCCTCAACTTATTTCGATGAAACTTCGAGAAAAAAATCAGTTATTTCTATAAATTTTTTTTCGACGAAAATTCGAAAATTCGAAATAAAAAATTATTTATGCAGACATTTTCGTCGCTACGTAATCTACGCCAGCTCAGTTTGGCAGGAAATGCGATCAACATAACAATGGAACGGTCGATAAGTGATATACCAACTCTAGAGAATTTATCGTTAGCTCGGAACCGTCTGCAACAGCTAAGCAAAGCAACATTCGTTAATTTAAATAATCTGGAGCAACTCGATCTAAGTTACAATCAGCTTCAGACATTTGACTTTACATTCCTAGCCCAAAGTCTGGTAAATGTCAAACACCTTGACCTATCACACAACCGTATCATTACGTAAGTTGTTTCCACCAATACATAATTGATTTGAAGCTAAAATATGAAAAGAAAACTTAGATAACTCCATCAGTCCATTTACGGATTGCAATTTCGTTTCAGAGAACAGATTATCAAGAATATTAAAGACAACAACTTTTTTGAATAAATCTGGAATTAGTTGCAGAATTGATCTGCATTCAGCAAAGCGAACATTGACGTATCTCAACCTGGCATATAATCAATTACAATCAATCGGGAAAAATTTGCTGAATGATCTTAGTCAGCTAAAAGTCCTCAAACTAAATCATAACGAACTTATTGAAGTACAAAGCAATGCATTCGCAACTTGTAGATGGCTAAACGAACTCGATTTATCCCATAACCATCTGAGGATACTACATAAAGGCACTTTTGCAGAGCAGGTACATAAAAGGTTTCAAAAACTACTCAAAATTTGTATTTCTATATTTTAGATCGTTCTATTGCAACATAATGTATGTGGTATGATATAAGATTAGGAACAGTGAGAGACAGCATTTTACAAAACTCAGTTGTAGAGATGTACCTATTTTAAGCAATTTGAATTTCCAATTAAATGTAAACGATTGGAAGTATTACCGGATTCTTCAACGGAGCTAATCATAATACCGTCCACTTAAAATAAATTTCACTGCTGAATAAATTTACAGAATATTTACGACAGTCTTGTATTGCGAAGTAATGCCATCAGCAGCTTGGACACAGATACATTTGGAAACAATAATGTCAACAAACTTGATCTCGCTTATAATGAATTCAAGAAAATACCCCAACACGCATTCAATTCCATCCAAAACAGCCTTACTAACCTGAATCTAAGAGTATTTAATCGATTTTCAGTTTTTTATTCATTTTATCATAATCAAACTCTTAAGAACTAACTATTCGTTCAAAGAAAAACACACTGCTAGTTTCATTTCTCTTGTGCAAAATGTTACTCTCTCTATCTAAAGTTACAGAATGCCATGTTAAAATATTTCATTTTCTGGCTGCAGGATGCTTGAGTAATTTGAAAGACGAAATTTGGTATTATAATTAGCAGGATAAGATAGACTGTTTAATACTACAATAATGACATTTTTTGGCCAATTCGAGTATAGAATAATTGAGGGCAATCAAATCCGATCTATAAGTGCAGCTGATTTCGATGGTATGCAGAACCTAATGGAACTAATTTTGGCCGATAACTATATCGAGATTATTGAAGAAGCGGCATTTTCAAGAATGAAGAAACTAATAAAACTGGATATTAGTCATAATCCCATCACATCATGGCATCCACACGCATTTCGAGTAAAATTTTCCAATGATTATTTCAATATTAAGTTCAAAACTCAGTGTTAAAATTTGTCTAAGATGCATTGAAAGAAGTACGGAAAAAACCCTATTTAGTCTGACTTTAATTTGAAATATTCTAAGAAAATATATATCTCCAAGAACTTTTCAGGACCTGAGTAACGCTATGGAAACACTTGACTTAGCAAATACAGGCTTATTTTCACTACCAAAAATTGATAATCATGGACTTCGACTTCTAAATATCAGCAAGTAAGCAATGGACCACACTTCTGTCTTTCGAAGAGCTCACACAATTCCCTTCAAACGCCCCTCCACTATTTAAGTGAATGCCATCTTTGAATGCTTGAATAATAATTGCTCGAAAGACAATTAACAAATTTGCATTTAATATTCGACTTTAATATTAACAACTCTAGCAACCCCACTCTATTAAACGTAATTTGATTTCAAAAATCTAAAAAAAATTTCATTCCAGCAATAAAATTCACGAAGTGAACAGAGCACATCTAATTAACAATCGAAAATTGGCAACATTTGATATTTCTTATAATAATTTTAAAGAACTTGATCCGGAGATGTTTGCCGAACTTGTTGAATTAAAACATTTGAACATTACCGGGAATCCAGTCACCAAAATCACGGATAGACATCTTCGAAATCTATACAATGTAAGCATTTTTTAAACTAATTCTTATAGAATTGAAAAAGTATTCTTTGCTATCATAATTAAGTTGTTGTTCCATCATTTGAGGACAATTGAATGCTTCGTCATAGTATTTCAGCTTGAATCCCTCAAATTATGCAATATGAAGGAACTACTTCATCTACCGGAACCATATTCGTTTCGGAATTTACGCCATCTACGCAATCTTTATGTAAATATCTAACATATTCACAGCACTTGATGCATATTCTACACCTATGTACCACGTGTGCAATTTTCCTCCACAAAAAAAAATAATCTTTTTTCATTTAAAATCTAATGTTTTATTCAAAAAATTTAAATCTAATAATTTCAGCTTTACAACCTTCCCCGTGTACAGACTTACGACATATCAGGTATTCTGAAATATTTACCTCCATTACGCACTTTGGCTATAGAAATCAAAGAAACACATTTGGCAACTCAGATGTACAGCGCTGATCTTAGATTACTACGAAAGATTGTAATCACCGGAAAACAGTTATTTCAAGTATGACACCAAAAATTTGCAAACGTTTCCGTCAGTTTAATCTAAAAATTCTTGCAAGAACTAAACAGAAGCAATATGCCATAAACCCTAGAACTTATTGGCATTCAAATTTGAGAAAACCTAATTTCCTCAAATTACAAATAATCTAATCTATATAAAATGTTTTAGAGATGACATTTCTTTTTTTTAAAATCCGAATTGAAGACTGCAGCTGAATGAATACTCTTCAGATCAATACTGGTGCATTTGCGCAGCTACGTGGTTATAAAGTAGACATAACGGTACGCGACACCGGAATCAAAGTATTCCCATCATCGATATTCAATACCCTAACTGCTATTAGTTACTTGTCACTTTCACTACCGAACAACCGTTTACAAACTTTTGAACCATTTCCACATACCAAACCACCAGTACTCAACCAACACGGCACCATACTGCACAATTTACAGCTAACGGTAGGCTTTCAAGAAACAAATCATTACTACACATGATTTTTTCATCAAAAGAGTAAATTAAAATTTGATGAATGATGCTTCCCTCCCTATAAACTTTAAGAACAAACTAAGCCAATGAGGATTTCTTGTAAGATGCAGCTATGATGGAAAACAAAGCAAATAATACTAAAAATAGAGCAACTAGAACAATCGTTCTCATCGGTAACGTTGTTTTTAAGTAAAACTCTTATTAATCATAAAAAAGCCTCACCACAGCATTTCATAAATTTGTCAAGTTCTCCAATGTTTTTAAAACAAAATGTAACTTTCAGGGTAACCCAATTATATGCGACTGCCGATTAAACTGGATCGGTGAGTGGGTTGAATATTATCAAAGCGTTAACGCAGCCTACGAACAACCTCTCAATGATACACATTGTGCTAATCAAATTGGTAGCGGTGCAACGCTTCACAATGCTTACACTTCAACAAATTATATAGCATGCACAACGGACAGTGCTACTGGCAGTTGTAATTCAATTCGTATTTCCTTTAATCTTTTATTTCTACTTTTCCTGACAATTTCCAATTAATTACAGTAGTTACAGAAATTTCCAAAAACAAAAATTTTAACCACTTCAATTTCGTAAAATGGAAAGCTAAGGATAATAGTTCGCTACTCTCTAAAACGGAAATAATTACTCATTCCTGAAATAAACTGCCAAACAGCTGCACAGATCTTCTTCAACAGTATGAGCGTGGATGTTACCTTGATCTCTTCTCTATTTCCCCCTATCAAAAGCAGTTATTTTATGAAAGGAAAAACAAACCCTTTGATAATTTGTAACGAAATCATTGAAGAAGCATCAAAAGTTGAAACTGTTCGCTTGCAAAATATTTCTAGTGACTGCTCTTGACCTACAAGTTTGGAATTGATATTTACCTCTTTATGTTTAAATTAAGTCAAAGTTCCTTATGTAAGCTATCACTAACCGATAACTTTTAATAAAGGTGCAAAAAGGAGCTTGAAAAAGAAATCCAATTCATCCGACGTGGTCCCAGCAAGAAACCGAAATATAGCTGCTCGCCGTTCCGTTATATCTCTCTTACAATGTATATTGCATTTCCCGTACAGAAGCCTGAAAGAGTAGCGTATCAGTTTTTGTAGTAATTCAGAAGTATAAAGGGAAAGAAACGAAGTGTCAGAGTTACTAGAATTGGCGGAAAATTACGGAAACACTAACCTCAATATAATCGGCATAACATCAGCACGATGACTACTGTCAATCACGGAATTATGATAGTCAATCGAAAACTTCACCAAAGCAGTGATTAACGTTCGTTCCTGCACTAAACATTCTAGATGTTCTCTGTAATAAGTAATTTTTCATAAAACCTCCCTCAAAACAAAATAGTGTAAAAACGATTTCATCTAAATTTCTCAAAATCCTCTAAATAAAAGAAAAAAAATCTTTCAATTGTCTAATCTAGTGTCCGAATTCTTTAATGAGTACCATTTTAAGTTCTGAAATACAAAATTAGTAAAGCGCGAATACAAACCTGTATGGCGTGACGTATTTGTAATTATAGGTGAATATGCATTTCAACGCCCGCTGTTGCACTGTTTCATCAGCAATTATCAAAAGCTAAACAACAGAATATAGTTACTATTAAAAATGATGATGAATTTTGTCAATGGCATGTTATCGCAATATATGTGAGAACTAATCCGATACATTCGCTAACAAACATTAAAGAGAAAACAATTGCAGAGAATGAGTCGTTAATTACCTCATTGTATAAATCTCGGATTTCATTCGCCATGTAAATAGTTCTTGGTGAAGTAAAATTTGCAAACAAATCCAGAAGAGTAATCAAGCTATCCCTAATCAATTTTCGTCCAATGCATTTGTCTTCTTCTATCATTTTGCGTTCATATTCGAGTTTTTCACTGTCATACCTGTGACGATATCAATCATTTACATTGTTTCAATATAAAACAAAAAAAAAAACAAAACAAAAAAAAAAAAAAACTCTTTCTGCTTTATTCATTCTATAAACTAACAGTTTTGGATCGTTGTTCGACTCATCTTTCCATTCATCCTTATCTGTAGAACAAGGAAGATTGGATGAAGCCACTATGATGCTTTCTCGTCTTTCTGACAAGTTTCCTTGTTGATATTCATTTCTAAAGCCAAATTTAAAAAATTAATGTGCTGAACGCAAAACATAATTCCCTGACCATATAACGAATATGCTATGTTTAAGCTACGCGCTGATTATACTAATAATACTTTTTGACAATTCCAGTATTTTCATCAGAAACAGATGAAACGTGAAATTTCCTCAGCAACATTCAACATTATTACAGTTTATCTATAATAACTACTTACTAACGCCTGCATTTAATAAAAATATGTTGAAGCAATGCATCTCGTGACGTTAAAGGAAGCAATTTTCATGTATCTAAAATCAAAAAATTGGAGCAGGTTTCTTTCATTAACTTTGCGTGGTTTCAAAATCTGTTTACCTGAAAAAACGAATGAAGAGAGGACTGAGCAGTTTAGTTCGACGTTCGCATAAATCACTTATGCAATTGAGAATCCCGAACATCTCCAATCGAAAAGCTCCGTAATTCTGCGGACTTTTGTCACCGATAGCTGTCATTTTGTCAAGCATACTACAGTTTAAACTACCATTATCGTCAGATATAACTGCAACGAGAAATAAAATACCATAACCAAATTCAATCACAAAAAAAACTCAGAACAGGAAGATTGCAGCAATATATAAAAATATCACCAGAACACAACTTGGCATCACTTCAGAACAGAAAAATAATCAAAGCATAAGCATACGAATATTGTGATGTTTAAATCATAAATATTAATAAAACACCAACCATACTGATTCTTTAACTCCATATGATCAAGAAAAGGCAAGAACAATGAGAAGAATGCATCAATATTTAATCCATAAGCATAATCTTGGATAATACTTTTTAATTCCTTCCATGCAATTGAAAATGGTTCATAGAGATTCCCAATAATAACACGCAAAGGAATCTAAATAGCACATATATTTCTACTGAAATATAACATTTGTAATGAAAAATGTTTCTTTTTGGTTTCACATCGTTTATATTCTTCATCAGTAGCTATGTATTGGAATTTTCAGCCAAGATTATACTGCGCATATAACTAAATGAAAATAACTTACCGTCTCAATTACTATATCAAAACCTTGCGGCATATGTTTTGCATGTGCGCCGTAAGCTAACTGGCGCAGAATCATTAAACGCGTCCTATATTCTCCCAAAGTCCATGGTGTTCTTTCAGCTCGTAGAAGAAGATCAAAAACACTTTCAATTTCAACCTGAAAAATATAGTTTTGCAAAGTCCAAAGTCCACACATTCATCACATTAAAATTTGGATCAAAAAAGGAAAAAAAAATTTCACCGAATCAATCTAATTCTAAGTTAAAACTGAACTGAAATTCCAAGTCAACTAAGTTTACTATTATCAATCTATCTGCTAATGAAAAGAATATGAGATAAAGTTACAGTTGTTTCGCTGTTGTTTTTCGTATTATTCATTGGAATATTAAAATGAATCAAAACTTCCAGAGCGATTTGCCGTACATGACTGCTCCAATGACCAAACATTGGCAGAATTTCATTTGCAACCTGTAGGAATCAACACAAATCCCAGAAAAGAGTAATTTAAATAATCATAAACAGAATGTTAAATTTCTTTTGTCAGGAAAGTTTTCAAAAATGAATAACGACGACGGTGAACAAGTATCTCCATAAATTATCAGAACAGTAACACCGTCCTAACAAATCATATGCTGCCATTTTACAAAATCTCCAACAAAACTCTGTAACCTTGCTCATAGCAGAAATATTTTTCAGTTTCTCGAAATCTTCAACAAATGGCAGTATCAAAGCCAAAGTACGAAGAGCTGCTTCGTTATTGCCCATATTTTTGTAAAACTTCAACAGACTATCGAGAGTAAATTGTCTGAATAAACTAGGATCAAATAGGAAGCAAGCATTTGCAGCAAGAAGTGATAAACGAGCATCAACGTTGCCTAAGCTGCTCATTGATGCTACGAGAATCCTGAATACAGCAGCAATTTCTGAAACAGAATATGCATTTAATTAAAAGCTTACTGTCATCTTATCCATCTCCTCTTAATAAAGAAAATATTAAATTCAAAATTTGTGAAGCAAAACGTAAAATGATGATCCTCGACTATACTATGCACATTAACATCTACGTTCTGTTTAATTTTCCTGTCGTACCTTTCGGATTTTCGGACTGAGTCCACAACCAAGGATATGCCATCAAACAGCAACCCACAATTTCTGTATCGAAGTTATTTGACGATTTCAGGATATTAATAAGTCGATTGCGCACTTCCAAATGATTGGACGTGTCGAAGAAACAGTTTCGTCTCCCTGAGAAAAAAATATATATTTTCTCAATACTTTTAACTATTACAGTTTCATTCCTGTTGACTCTTCGATTCTTACCTTTATGTTTCCAAATCGGTCTTCGTTTATTACATATATCTGCATAGAATCTAAAAATTCTGTTAATGACCTGAGCGTTCTCTTGTACAACCAGTCGTGACATAAATGCACCAACAATAGGCATTATCCAAATATCAAACAATGGAATATCGGAAATGTTGTAAAGAAAATCTAATATCACATCGAAATCACAACTAAAAATAAAAAGAAAACATCTTAAACATAGTAATCATAAAGTTCATACAAAAAATCCTATACAGAAATTCAATTATCATTAGCTCGAGAATATATACATATATAAAATAAACCTCTGCTCGTCACTCATAAGTAGGCGTATTGCTGCAGTAATTAACGCATGTAATTCACTTTCGCCATGATACCTAAAAATATTCAAATGTCTATTTCAGAACTCAAATTTGTGAAAATGATTTTAATTTAAAGAAATAAAAAAATGAAGGTAATTCTGAGAGTAAGAGTATCACTGATGAATGGTTTTTTGGCAATATTTGAAGTATGCATTTTAAAAGATAAATCAGTGAAGAAAATTTAGGGAAATCGACTCTCAGATTATAGAAAGGCAGCACATGGTTAGTTAATAAAACTGCAGAAATACCAGCTAAATGACATCAAATTAAAGAACATAATCTTAGTTTCCCATTATTATAAATCAATATTTTCCAGAATAAAAGCAGTTGAAACTCTAAAAAATTAAAAGCACATCATCAAACTGACCTCATGATAGCACTGGTCAGCAATTCGACAGTCTCTTTCTCCACTTTTCCGGTTCTACTTTTCATACCATCTATTATAACTTGAAATAGAGACGATGGCTTATGCAGTGATCTGCCCATTTTTTGACTTATCCAAGCATTCAAAAAGTTGGCCAATGCCGAACTTTTCACTGTGTCGAATGATACTACAGCTGACTTGTATTGTCTCTAAAAAGTTTATTTTAGTCCTAAAAAATCAAAATATTTACAAAAAAAAAAACCAAAACTCTATTTTTTCGACTTCAGCTTCAACTAAAAAATAGAACTACAATAAGCTTCCATTAACTTTAATTTCATCCTTCTTTTCATTACAAGAAATTTCTGGTTTCCTCTTTTGGCTTTTGTGGTGTAATATAAAAAAAAAAAAATCAGTAGAAACTTTCCACAAATTACCAAACTGAATATAAGAAGCAAAAAGCTATAAAAATAAAGTGTTTAAAATTTAAAGAAGTCTTCCAAGATAGCGAGAGTTACCAAAATAACATCCATAAGCAATTCACTACATTCCTTTGATGTGTAGCTGCTACACTGACGTATCGTATCTACCAAAATCTGGATTGCAATATTTCGGACACCATTTTCCTCAATTTCGAGTGATGCTTGCAAAATTTCCGATAACAGCTATAATTCAATCAACATCAATGTATAAAATAGTCAAAATTCATGCATTTTCTGCATCATCTGCATATGAAAACACAAAAAGAAATAAATCAGTCTCGTTAGAACTTACCTGCGGCGATGCGCTATGGAACTGTCCTCTGGTAATCTTCAGAGCATTGAAATATAGTCGAGATATGCCATCAATAAGTAATGAGTTGTTGATCTCCTGCATTTGAGCAATATTTCAGTTTTAATATTGAAATTTCAGATGGTTTAAAAATATCGATCTATTTACCTTCCTTGCAACTAACAACAAATAAAATTTTTACATTGTATGCTGTTTCGGCCAAAAATACGACAAGATTTCCTACTACACTCGACTTCCGTAATAAAAATGCAAGGGCTTCGGCAGTAAATCGGCGTAAATAGGATCGTTTACAGCAAAAAATCCGTTTGAAACGTCTAGAAACTGATATAATAAACAAATCCTATATATATATAAAACAAAGATGTAGGACGAACTAAATGTGTAACACATCAAACTTCGATAGGAAATAACTGACCTGAAAACTTCATATAACTCACAAACAAGATGTCGCCGTTGTAACCAAAAAATCTTCGCTAATGTGAAAAAAACGGTCTCGAGAATTTCTTTATCCTCGTGCGACCTTTCCAATATACTTATTGTAGCTTCTATAAAGTCCCATATGTAGCTCCGAAAGTCTTCCCTAATATCTTGCACGAATGCGGTTGTCAATCTAGAATAGCTTTCTGATATTAAACTCCGATTTTAAAAGTGAAAAAATATAGAGAGAGATAACTTCCTTTAAAAAATATGAAAATTCTAAGTTTATGATAAGTTCTAGCTAAGTTCGCTAAAAAAATTTCGTGAAAAAAGTACCAAAAACATCCACCAAATGAACCGAACTGATAACCTACTTTAGTAACGTGATCAATGAGGTACTTTCAGAAATATTCAAATGATTAATTAGAGCCTTTGCCACGATATCTTTCCGATGGAGAAGTTGTGCATATGTCCGTAATTCACCATCAAAATATGGAATATCATTCAAGAAGTTTTCTGAAATTATAAATTCTCCTTATGTCAGACAGTAAAAATTCTCTCATGAAAATTACATGTAAGAGTATTAAATAAACTTGCATCTTACTTCTGTACAGCTGAAAACGTTAAAACTACCTCATTAAAAACATATAATCAGAAATTCTCAGCATAAATCTCACTAAAATATGAGCCGTAGTCCAAATCTCGATATTTGGTAACTGTATCGTTAAAATAAGTTTCATTTTCCGCCGAAGTAACAGCTGTTATAGAAGAATGCCATCGAGCAATATCTACACTCACTTTGGCGATCTGATCCGTGAATGATACATACTGAAATTCTAATTCACTGACAAACGTTATACCATATCTTTTTTTTCACTAGAAATAATCACGTAAAATCCTTTTGTCAGAGTTTCTGTTAACATTATAAGTTATATGAATAGCTTTTCATTAGTAGCCTTCAATAATGCAAATAAAAGTTTTGAGGATAAATGCAAATTTTCTTTCGCTATGATCTCTTAGACTGAACTATATCTCTCTCACGTTTCTTAACACTAACACAATACACTAATGTATAAGCAGAGAAGCAAAACGTATCACTCCGTGAAGTTACTCATATTGTATATGACGAGTGGGTTCATTTGATATATTTATACATATTATGGATTATCTGTGTGCACAGGGTCAAACTCCAGTTCAGAAAAGGACTTGTAAGATTCATCATTCAATTGAAGAAGGGTGGCAAGGATTACAGTAAACAATTCATGAAAGTTTATGAAGACGTATAATAGTGAGTGATGGTAATAATGAATGATGATAATATACAATATATTGGAAAGAAAACGGAAGTAAACAAACCTTTAATCGACCGTTCGAATTTGACTTCACTTTCATCCCTTTCGCTTAGCAGCATCAAATGCCTGTGAGAATATTTATTTATTAAGTGCGTCGAAATAACACTGTAACAGAAATACCATTCACTTCAGCAACTATTAAGGCAAGCGTAAACGTTCGATTACTCATATTTGCGTGAACCTCAAACGTCCTCTTATTGGGCACGCCGTGTTTCACAATACCGACGGACGAGTCCTAAAATAGAAGCGGCCATCCGTGAGAACGCGATGAAAAATGTTTGTTCGTAAGCAGGGATTTTCCAACTGCTGTGTCACACGTGTATGACAGGGAAGTTAGAAAGAAGTGTACTGGGAGTGAAGGCCAGGTCTGACTATATTGACACGTGGAATCCACATTATCAGCTTACTGTTATCTACGCTTCATTAAGCTACTAAACACTGGAAGGATTAAACAATTCCCAGTCAATTAATGACTCTACCGTAGTTTGCTGTTTGAGGTGGACAACCTCGTTGACTTTATTTAGCAATTATAAAATTTGGTAAGGAATGTCTGTCTGCCTGCAAATCTCGAGTTGACTGACGAACATGTCTATTAGTAATCTACATGGAGTGGTATAGTAGCTGTTATCATTCTTCAGTATTCAAAGGTATTGGATTGAGATCAGTCAGACCTGCGTTTCGAGTCTCTTTGGACTCCATATGAGCATTACTGTGTTAGAAAAAAGGCGACTGCATAATCTGAATCTTTTCAAAACCTTCCAGATAATAAGTGCCTTTGTTGTTTGTAGTGGGATGAAGCATTGGACAGTGATCAAAGTAAGCAATGAGAATACCAAATATTTTTTCAAATTTTATGCAAGTAAAGTTAGAAAGAGAGATTCTTGGGAAGGATTTTTGGCATTCTCTAACTGATTAAGTGGCGATATGGCTTCAGGACAAGTGTGTCAGCCTGACATTCCTTTTGGACTTTTGGATTATCATAATATATTGCACACTTTGAGTTTGAGAGGTGTCAGAAATATGTTAATGGCCAACTACAAAGTAAAAAGTGCCATACCTAAATGTGGCACAAAATTATCACTGTTGAGTGGTGCATGTCGGAGGAAAACTGCCCTAAGTGGGATTTGTGTGGAGCGGTTGGGCAGACAGTGATATTACTAGGAGTGTAATTCCCACTATTCTTTGCTGTGTCAAAGTTCATTTGATGTTTATCACCAGTGGAAGGTTATCCATTGTCAGAAGTTGACAGGTGACAGTCTTTGCTGTGTACCGAAAGTCTCGGCTAAAGATGGAAATTAGTGGTTGAACTTTTGGTGCTAAACAAACTCGAAAGAAAAACTGTCGGTAAGTCGCGGGATGATTCATTCACGGACATAAAAATATAAAAGCATGTTTTATTGATAGTTTTGAGAAGTTAAACAGCAAAAATGCTGGCTTATATGTTTAATTGGACTCGGGAATAATCTCAATTACATTCATCTACAAATCAATTCACTCGAGTATACTAGCAATGATTTCACTCGCTAACGATAGAGAATTGATAATGGTTTCATAAACAGTTAAAATGGGATCTAGAATAATATTTTTAAGGCGTATGTCAACGCCTAAATCCACTTTTCCACTCATTTTGCATTGCGTTGTTTCGGATTGAGATCGGGTAATTGTGATTTGATCCGGGCAGGAAGTTGATCTTACCTGTGGTGCCGAATGGCTTTTTGCAACCAAAGACTGCACAATTCATCGAAAGTTACAAAGATTAAATTTAAACTTTAGAATCAAATTTAATGGATTCTTTTATCAATAAAGTTCTGATGGAACTAATTTTAATATAGCAAATGGAGATAAATAAGTACCATTTGTGGCTTGAAATTCACTTGTGGTCGAACACTAAAATTCCACTGTAGAGCAGTCATCGGGTTAGGCCATGTGAAGCAATGCCAAATTGCTGAAAGGGCGAACAATACCATTGTGGCCTAGAATATCTGACTAAAATAACTACGGCAAAGATGGAATGACGTACATTTTTCTAAATGAAGCCAAACTTGTCTTCTTATCTCACTCTACATTAGTTTGGTAAGGAGAAGGAATGGATCTTTAGAAGAGATAAATGGAAGGAAAGGGAAAAGAAAGTGGAAATGAACATAAGTAGACCTGGCCACGAACTTTGCAAAAAGAGAAGCGTGGCAAACGCATCTCTCCATTGGAGTAAATGGTAGTCTTGAATCCTTTGGTAAGCAGCGAGTGCACCGGACAGGTAATGGCATACAGCAGTTTCAGGTGGAATATACCCATCGCCACGACCATCCACAGGTAACTGCCCACTTTCCATTTGCAGAGTGAACTCTGAACCTTCATCTTCACACATGCAATGCTAATGCTAATGTCACAGCATTACCAATTAGCATCCGAAGTAGCTACTTCTGAAGGTGGAAGATATGGAATACCAGTAAAATTCGCTTCCGTTCTAAAATATCGTCTATAAGGACATTACGGCATCGTGCAAGAATTCCACACGCAGCCCTTATCCAACCAATCTCCTCCGGCATGCTGCTCAGAAATAAACTTCCTGAAGCACTGTTCAATGCGACACGCTAGTTCAACTTTATAACGGAGCAGACTGCCTGGAGAGACAGAGGATACGACCGACAGAAAAGATTGAGGCATTCCAGTTAAATATTAGGGCAATTTCCGGTCAGGAATAGCTAGCTAATCCAGGTGTTCATTTTGGGAGTTTTACCCGGCTATGCTGTTCAATAAGCACACTCTGCAGCACCACTGCACTTTCTATGATTTCCTTCCAAATTGGTACCTTGTTATACAGCCAAAGCAATTATATATCTAGGCACTGTCCCAAAGAAATGTCTGGCCAGAAGGCACCGAAGCTGTCACTTGGCTAAAGCATGAAAATCGATAAATTGCGAGGTAGAACAACAGAGATATGTTCAAACGTCATTTTGATCGTTTGTTAAATTGGTAGCTTTCCATCGATTTGCCACTAAAGCTGCCAAAGAAGTAGCTATTGAGCACTTAGTTAGGAACATTTCTTTTAATTTCGTCAAGGAACTCATCAAGAGTTACATAACACTCACCACCTTGATCTTTTGACTTTTGACCTTAATATGGAAAAAATAGGCTATCCATGAACTGCGACATGCGGCTTACAGAAGTACGCTGAATTATATTTATGCTAATCAGAAATATTTTTTTTTGGTTTTTGCAATAATGGAAAAACAGAGTTAGTTCTACGTAGACTTCCTTTCGGTTGAAGCCATGACAGATGCTTGTTAGGTAGGTTACTACAGGAAATAGAAATAGGCTTCATATCATTCTGGATTATCTTATGTTTCCGGTCAGGTTTTTTAATCGATTCATGCTTTGCATTAATTGGCAAGGGATAATTACTTATTTTGGTATTCACAAAAACAGCTTAAAGATTTGATCACTTTCTAAACTCCGCTAAAGATACTTATCTCTTACTAAAGTATATTGCCAATAGAAAAGGAAGAGAAATTCCTTGGTCAAAAATTCTTCCAAATGAAAGAGTTTTCATCTATTTTGGCATTCCACATAATTTGGCAGTTTTAGCTAGTTGTTTTACTATTTCAGAATATTAAATGAAAGCTGAATGAAGAGCAGTCTTTTCACTCAATTCTGCCACGGATTACGGATTCGTCTTGCATTAACTTGCATTCTGAATGTCGGTTTTAGATTCTATGCAGCAAGCAATGAACAGAATTTATTTCAATACCAAAAGTCAGTTTCTCCACTGTCCTTCGAGAGCAAAACACAAAGTAATCAATAATCTCGCTGAATAAATCATCACTACTAAATTTGACTATTATAACTACCAATAAAGATGTGGCCAGTTTTGTTGATTTTGATTAAATCACAACATGAACACTTTTATTGATTGAATGAATGAACGAACAAAGCAAACTTTCAAGCTGTAGGCTTTCTAGCCAATGCCTAGCCAGCCAGTTTCTCCCATATTTTGTTTCATACTTAAAAAACTTGTACAATATTTGACATTTATTAGACTGCAGAACAAAGCTTTTCAAAACATTCCAAAACAAAGCTTGTGACATTTGTCAATTCGTGTGACAAGCATGCGTACTTCAATCTTTCCAGTGTCTCGAAATCATGAAAGATTTCACTTGCAGCTTTTCCTTATAGCTACTTACATCACCACCTATTCAGAAATCCATCAAGTTTGTTCGCTTCATAATACATTCAGCAATTGCCTAATCTTTTCTTTTTTCCGTAAATTTCAAGTCTTACCAAAATTTTCCAAAATCAAATAAACCATCAATTACTCAGTCTACAATCAAAACTAGAGCAATTTCAAGTAAAGCGAAAATGTCATGCAAAAACTTGCTGCTGAACGACCACTAGGTCAGAAGTATGTCAGCTTCGTTTCATCCGGTCCAGTGTGGTCCGGAACGGCTTCTGAAGAGTTCTCTCGTTCAACACTGATTACTTCACCGTTGCTGCTACAACACCTAGGTGAAAAAACAAGTGACAAGTAAGAGAAGAGTTGTCTTGCCTACTCATCCTGACTGTTCGAAGAAATATGACACTAACTCATCCATTCAGAAACAGAACAGAACTGGGAGTCTCGTGGCAAGCTGAATCCGAGCCCAACAGAGACTACTCTGCTCGAGATTCCCGTCTGCGGGTTGCATGTTGCTGCTGCTGGTTGAGTACGAGTCGTGATGGTCTTTACAAGTTGACAGTATTCTTTTTCAGAATTTCAAGAGAGAGATGCAGTTAGAGAAGAAAGAAGACAGGACAGTCACATGTCCTTATGCCGAAGGTCACTCTCACACAGTACCTGTTTGCGACATGCCATTACACTTGGCTAAATGTCGTCGTTTATACTACAAAAGATATGGTGTTAAGACAGAACTGAAAAGGTAAAATGACTTGGTTGGTGGTAAAATGACGGTATCTTTCTGGTAGTTGCACAGTTTCAGATGTAAATATAACGGTTGCCATTATGTTCTTGCTCCGGAAGTGATGCTGCACGAACTGACCTGCCATAGTAGAACGCTGTATCAGGAATGCAAACGGAAGATGACATATCCTCCTGTGCCACTTAAAATCGTTACTTCTTCAATTTAAACGGAAAGATGCATTCGGAGTTGGAATTGGATGGTTGTCTTTATTTGAGAGTTTCTGATTAACCAAAGTTTAACCTTGTGAAACATTCCGTAAATTCCGAAGCTTTTTCTGTATTACTTGTTAGAGAATTAAGTATATTGTTGCGTTGTCGTGGGACAGTTCATCTTTATTTGTTAAATATAATTAATATTATCTGATTATTTCTGTTGACCTTTATCGATCACTTCTTGTTTTCACTTTGTAGATGGGATTGATGTGACTGATTTGTTGGAGGGAATACCTGTGTTTAAGCTGTGAAAAGCGATGAATTAGCTTACGGTTGTTGACGTGAGGTGGAGAAACGAATGGAGGGTACTTGACATGTCATAAATGAATGGATTCACTCACAATTTCGTTATTCCTTTCAATGAAGAAAGAAGTTAAAAATCTGTCTGAATAAATATGATCTATAAGTAACTGCTGCAGTTGCATTTGCACTTCTTGAAGGACTTTACAATTGCTACAGGCGGCACATTCGAATCAGCGGAGACTTATAGCTAGCAGTGAGGCCAAGCCAGTCAGTGGCCATTGAGACATCGAATTTCGTTGGTGAGAAAGTGCGGTTTGAGCGCCGATACATTTACATGGCGGAGATATTTGTGTGAGGACCCTGTGTTCTGGTATTTCTACTGGTTGGTTGCTAGGTCCGCTGCGGAGGAAGTACAGGGGAGCCGTAGAGACTGTGGTGTTTTCTGCATTGTCCCTGAGCTACTGAAGTTAGCTAGTGGGGATTCATTTTTAAATCTGGAATTATTTGTCAACGAGACGAATAGATGGTTGACATTTTAAAGCTTAACCTTTTCAGAGTTGTAATGTGGCAGATGTATTGCAACGAATGACCACTGTGTCGTGAAGATGGATGTAATAGTGGTGAGTGATACGATGTAAGGTGTCTCCTGTGTGCGAGGTAGCACAGGCTGATAAGGGGCATTCTCATTGGCAGTGTTAAGTGCATGCTGCGACTTACATCTCTTTGCCACTTATATCGCTGGACAGACCCGCCATACTGCACACGGCGCACCGCCACACACAAATGTACACATGCACACAAGTAGTACAGTACTGTGCCGATTTTCATAGGATGAGGATGGACAAAGGGGACACACGAGTGACACGCCCGTGTGCTCCGTGTGTGACCAGCGTCTTGTTATAACAGGAAAGACTACTGATGTTTTGAAAGAATTGTTTCCTTCCCTGGATTGTTGAGACAGTCACACACTTCGTCGTCCTGTGTTTTGTTTCACAACTTGCATTTTTGTGTTTACCTGTAGTATTCCTGAAATCAGATTCATTTGAGGTCGGGAAATGTATCTGGCAAGTTAGTTAGAAGAATCAGTAGACCAGTTGTTGTGTGGACCTATTATATGTTTAATGTAGTTGGAGAGCATAGATAGCGCAAAGGGAAGGAAATGTACCGAAATTTTTAATTAGCTTACTGATTGAACTTGTTGATTGAGTTGTGGTAATAATGTCACACTGCTCAATGTTTTCATCAGTTTTTGTTCGTTTATTGAGATGTTTTTATCAAAACAATTGCTTTTATGAATTGTGCAGTGAGTATTTCATGGGTAATATCGATACGGATCAGATTATCTTAGTATTTTCTTTGGTTACGGATTAATAGGCCTACTGTAAAATTTCTGTTGATCTTATAAATAATTATCGCTGATGATTTTTTCGTTTTAATTTGTTCTGTCGAAATGACGTTTTTTTTTTTCAGAAAATCATCATACAAATAAAATTTTAAGTTTCAGAATATAGCTATGCAAGGATTGTATCGTTGTTGGTAGTGTCACAGTTTTGCTTAACTTATATACTTATTTATTTGTTCCAAACAGGTGATCGTGGTTGATCCAGAGAAATGACAATGATTATGGATATCAATGGTAGTGACCCACTTCAGACAAAGAATACAGTGGATAATTTGTAAGTGCATTCTGAGATTGTAGCCATAGAGCTATTTGCAATATTTTGGCTTTCTGAAAACTCTCAATTCTTTATTGCAATATTTAATAAGATAAAACTCGCACTTGCCAGGCTTTTATTTCATTCCAAGGCAAGTCTTTATTCCTCAAAGTAACTGTCCTTTTGTCTATTTATGCCTCATTCTTTCCTTCCTGTTTATTAACCGTTAATATTTATGCATTTTCTAGTTCTTCATCACAAACATTATTTCACGGTTGTGGGGCAGTTGCATCGAATACTTTGCATGAAACTAGTGATGATATCTACGTCGCAAAAACCCGGTAATTTTCAATTTTTGCGAAAGACATGTTAAATTTCAAGAATTATAATTGCTAGAAACGTCATTTTTTCACGCTTTATTTTCGTGCCGTTATGACTCAAAGTGGTATAGTTAAATTATGATTTCGAGTTCTTCATCGGAAACGTTATTTTACCTTGTATTATTTTACTTTCCATTCCTTGGAAAAATAAAATATTTCTTACCTACTTTTAAGCAATGTTTGGAAGTTTTACAGATATGTTGGAGAGATTTCACAAGCATCATGCAGCTCATTGTGTTCCGAAGAATTTGAAGAAGAGCAAAAAGTATGTTGAGATTACACTATCCATTCTCTAAATTCTCGAACCTTATTTGATTGCCTTACATGATAGTTCGATTCAGTTTATTATTATTTTACTGATCTATCCTTCATGAGTTTGGTTCATCCGATTTTAGAATGGCAGATTATTCTGGAGTTATGACATTTCTGACCAATGTACTTATCAGCATTCTCACTTAGCGCCTGGTCGTACCTCTTGTGTGTTCCTGGAAATGGCTTTGAAACGATTATATGCTCGAGACGATTTCGATGTGTTGGAAAGCTTAGGCGAAGGCTTTTTTGGTGATGTGTATAAGGTTCATCCTTAATGAATTTGGAAAAAAAAATTGAATATGCATTAATGAAACATTTTTGTTAGAGGATGAGATTCCTGATATCTGTGCAAAGTTTTATGAAAAGAAAAAGTTATTGTGAAGGACAAATAACAGTCTTTCTAGGTACAACATCGATTCACCGGAGAGATTATGGTGCTGAAAGTCGGTAAAGAACGAGAACGGGAAAATCGAATACGCATTAAAGCAAATGTGCTGAAAGAAGTTAATATGTTAAATCAGTTGACGTCGCATCCCAATCTGTTGGCGTTTCGGTAATGCGTCCATTTTTTCCATCACTGTATCGATTTAAGTATGTTGTGATTTAACTGGAATTATTTGACATTGGTGGTGACTAAGCTAAACGACACCTACAATTGTTATTGAATGATAGTATCTTTTTTAGAGGTGTGTGTGTTGATTTGGCAGAGAAATCGTGGAATTTGCATATACTTATGGATTTCTGTGATGGGGGCAGCTTAAGTCGCTTGATATGTGACCATCAAAAATATTTCCGATGGAGTTTGCGATGCAGTTTAGCACGTGATATTTCATACGCTATGGATTTTGTGCATTCAAGGGGTATCATGCATCGCGATCTCACTAGCATGGTTTGTGCAGCTGCTTTCGTATTTGTGTAAATTTTGAATATGAGGATTGCTAAGAGAAGCATGAATAAAGATCAGAACAAGGGATTAAGGGATGCTGGACGTCTTTTATTTATAAAGTTTTCTTTTTCTTTCATAGAATGTTTTGCTGCAAAAAGTTGCAAATGGCAGTTTAAAAGCGGTGGTAGCTGATTTCGGTTTGTCGTGCAGAATCCCGCGAATTGTTGAGAAGCTGACTCAAGTGGGTACTCCATTTTGGATGGCTCCTGAATGTCTTAAAGAAGAGTTTTATGATGAGAAGGTTCATTTTATGCTTGCAAATTAAGACAAAGAGATATTCACTGTGTTTATTCTTTGCGTCGCAAATATTATTATGTGGATTCTTTAATGAGAGGTAGTCAAATAATTTCAAGTAATTATTTAGGCAGATGTTTTCTCGTTTGGAATAATATTATGCCAGATGATAGCTAGGATTGACGCCGATCCAGAGGCAGGACTTTACCGAACTCACAATTTTGGTTTGGATTATGTTCGCTTCACAGCCCACTGTCCAACTGACACTCCTTTGGATATTCTGAACTTAGCATTTCAATGTTGTTTGGTAAGATGTTAAGCTCAAAATTTGATTTGTTGACGTTATAGTACCACCTGCTATGTGCTTTTGTTTGTTCGCAGCTTTGCTGTTTCTTACATTTACACTAATTCATTAATGTTCATTGTAGATGGATCCAGCTGCTCGGCCCAGTTTTGTGTCTATCTGTGATTTCTTCACTAACTTCCGATTTCCTCGACATAAAGACTGTGATCAATCTTCATCGAGGCTGGTTGGAAGCGATGGGCGTTAGTATTCGCGAGATTTTTGGCATATAAATTCGTCCCTAACACTTAAAGTCACATTGTTCCTTACCATTCTTTTTGAAATCTCCTTGTTACTGAAATTAACAGATAGTTAGTCTTATAGGATTGGAGCGCTCTTTGTCAGATGCAACTTTGAAATATTGGAAATCGAAACACTCGGAGTTATTTCCATCTGTTTTAAATCGAAAAGAGCAAAGCGGTGGAAGCCAAAGGTAATTTAATTATTTTGCTTGAGGGCTCGGAATAGTCATTCGTTCTCTCCATCATACTGCATGTAATTCTAGATTATCTGCTGACATTTTACAGTTTTAAATGGAACTTTAAACATATTGTTTCATTACTTGTTTAATATATTTATAGTGAGTGCAAATCAGTGAATGCAGTTCCTCTTCTGGTACTTCAAGAAAGTATGCCATGCGAAGATTTAAATCATACAGATAAGGATGAAGAGATGAGAAACAAGTCTCGGATGGAGGAGCTTGCAAGAAGTGTTGCCGTGGATGAACTTTCTGATGAGGTATTCTGCTTCCTTAAAAAATCAATATTTAAGTGGCTAAATAGTTATAATATCTAATTCTTATATTTTATAGTTATAATATCTAATTCTTTCAATGCGTAAG